GTGAGTTTTTTTAATTATTAACAGTTTGTCTATGTTCTGTTTTTTGTTTTAAAAATTCTGTAATGAAAATATATCTTTTTTTATTTTCATATATAAAAAAAATACATATTTTATTATTATTTTCGAAAGTATTACATTATAATATTTATATAATTAATTAATTATCAAAAAAGTTATCAAACAAACGTTGGCTTGTATAATCGTCCAGCCATTTTTCGGCTAAAAATAAACCGACAGCACTCGACCCCTAAGAAAACTTTTTAACTAAATTAAGGGCTCTCGCCGAGGACAGCACTTTATTAAAATGTAAATATTAACCAAAGCCCTTTATCAAAGTTTTAAATCTTTTTTAATCAGATCCCCGTAAGACTGAGTGGCTAAAGATTAACAAGAAATAAAAAAAAAATAAGGTCTACAAACAGGTACTAGCTACTAGGTCAGCAGAAATTAAAGGAATTCTAAAGGCTTCTAAGCTCAAAGCGCCTTCTTATATGAGCGTAATTGCTTCCTGTAGGGAAACACGGCGTGTGAAAAACGACCTCCCTCTACCCTGTTGCTACCAGGCTACTATAAATTTGAATGAGAAAGATGCAATTAAACTGTTGAGCAAAATTTCAGTCGGTTATTCTGTTAGATGTTTGTGTATCCAACAAGGAAATCTACATCTATTTTAGAGTGAGAAAAACTCTATAAACAATATAATAAAAATTTTTCATTGTGCTGGTAAACATTTAAATTAAACGACATTATGTCGACCTGACAGCTTATATTGTTAGGAATGGGTCTGGTAGTCCGCATTACTAATAATATTTTCCCCCCATATATATATATATATATATATATATATATATATATATATATATATACACTCGTATAGTTGTCTTTCAGCTGGTAATAACTTAATATATAATCTTTTGTAGGAAACAATAAAGAGTACTTATCTATTTACACATATAGGGGGGGAGGGGACAATTGCTAGTCCAATTGCTAGCAATATACACTTATACACTTAGAGATGAGAGTAAATTGGAAATCGAATAACGTCAATTAGAATAAGAGCAAGGATGAAAAGCTTGTTTCAAAGTACTAATGATCGTGTAAATAATAAATGAATACTCTTTACTGTTCCTTTCAAAGAAAGATACGATTATCAATCAATACGTATAATAAAATCGTAAGTAGTCGCTGTCTGTACGTGGAAGATATATAAAAAAACTAATTTAAGGGGTTATTATTGTTATAAAAATATTGTAACAAGTAAAAGTAATTGTAATAAGGTAAAAATAATATTATGAACGCAATAGAACAATGATTTTTAACATTTTTATCTGTTTGTCTGTACGTTTGTGCAGTTAATCTCAGAAACGGATTTTTAATGTGCGTTTTACTAATACGTTGCGGTTTGCTCCATTTAGTATTTAGTGTTTACTTTATTTCAATCGATTCATAAATAAAAAAAGTTATATCAATCTAAATAATCATATATGAAATGCTATAAAATCATTTATAAAATGCCGACCAAATGAAACTTTTTTTTTTGTATTGTATGTATTGATTTTAATATAGAAAAAATTCAGTAATTAGTCGTAACAGTTAGCCATAAAATTTAAATAAGAATAGTATATAATGAAATAAAAATTGTGTTCCACTAAACGACATGACTGATTTTGATAAATATTCTATTTTATGAGTAATGTTTATACACGTTACAAAAGTATGTATATTCTTTCGAATAAATAAAATTTCAAAATCGGTTATGAACTGAAAATCGAGGTCAAAGGAGATGTGATGAGAGTTTACGATATGTTTATCAACAGACAGATAGACAAACTTTCTAAATATTATTGTTTTAGCTTTTATTGTTCTTATATATAAGGGGTTTTACCATTATATTAATTTTTATTAAAAATCTCCCATATTTAAGAAAAATAATTTAAGAAAAATGAATACACAATTTTATTATATAATTAAGATGTCTATAGGTTCATTTTACAGCCGGCTATTGTCACCTTCCATAAGGTACGCCGTCAGCTTGTTTCTAAGTTGCATAAAATTAATAAATACATGACTACTAATTCAATTTACAGAACACATTAGTGGGATTTGAATCGCTTTTAGTCTCATTTTGGTAAGTGCCAAACTTTTAGTTTAACGATTAACAATACAAAGACACGGCACGAGCATACACAAGTGACTGTCTGGCCTAAAATCAGCTTCAGTACAAAAGTAACACGTTCCCCCATTAACACCATTATTTATATTTATCGTGGTTCGTTTTACAAAAACGGAAAGAGCCATGATCCATCAAAATTATATGAAGGAAAATCAATAAATGTATTTGCTGCTAAGTGCTGGTTCTTGTAGGTAAAAGTAGGGTTCCTTTATTTTACTATTTTTTTTCTATATATATATATATTCGTCACGCCTATCTTCCATTGGGGTAGGCAGAAACAACGGAACGTCAAATGCTCCGATTCTAACATACTTCATTCGCTGATTTTTTTTATATTTAATATTATTACAGTCTGAGTTGTTTCTTATTACAAAATTACAAAAGAATACGCTTACTTGCGTCTATAGACTATTTGTCATAAAACCATATTAGTTTTTATTTAGTTTTCAAAGAAGGAAACTCAATTGTTGTTTTAAAAATGTAGCAGTTCTTGTAAATAAAGAGATTTTTACATTATTTTTTGAATTTCGAATAATTAAATTTTCTAATATTTTTTTTTTCATATTTCTTTTAATAACTATGTAAAAAGTTCCACTACATTTTTGACACGTCATGTGTTACGATACCAATTCAATACAAGTAAACGGGCAATATTATCACTAAATTACCGCATTTTCAAAGTTGATAGATATATTATAATCACAACAAGTATTCAAACTAAACACGTATAAATACAATAATTATAAATTGATAGAATAATGTAAACTGATACAAGACAAAAAATAAATATTTTAATATATAAAAATTACGTACATAGGGACCTATGTACGTTTATGCTAGTTGTTAAGATTCGAAGTTGTTCCTCTTTCCGTCTGTTTCTACTTTTCCCTCTTCTCTTTTTCTGTTATATACCTTGAGCCAATTACATACTGTAATTATGTTTACAGTATACAATAGGACTTATGTTACTGTTCATTATACATATACATAATTATACACCTTATACACTTTTACAAGTTTACAAGTACTTAAACTATTACCCAATTTCATAAAACCCATTTTCTCCAAGAATTTAATGTCTACAAAATATCGCGAATAGAAATGTTTTTTACCTAAAATTGTGGAAAAAATACTTAATCTAGCAACGTTGATGCTAGATCAGCTTAACTTTTTCAATGAAATTTAGTAAATGTGTATTGTCATCTCCAACTTGAGAAATAGGATTGTATATCCCAATAAGAAAATACTAGAGCTGGTGGACGTCGACAGAGGATAAAATAATGTTTGTCGAGTTTAGTTAGTTATGTAATACTCTAACTACGAGTTGTTTCTTATTTCAAAATCTAATGTTACGAAAGGAAACACTCGTCAGCCCATAGACAATTTAACATCAAACCTCTGATCAATTTTCAAAGTTGTTATTTACGCATAGTTGACATAATTGTTCAGCTACATATCAGGTAACTGATTCTACCGAAGCGATGTTTATTACTGATGTTTTTTTTATGAATACCATTGCATCATTTCTTGAATCCCTTTTAATAATAAGCACTATCTTTTGCCTGTAAATTCTAATACGTGGATTTTGGAAATAAGTAATAGCTTCTAAGGTTGCCTGGACTCTTTCAGCTATCTCTATAGCTATTTAGCGATTTATCTTGCTTTTATGTAGTCAAGTTTATGTTTTTACTACTTTACTACATACTACATCTACTACATTTAATTCTATTCTATCAAATACTATATATATATATATATATATATATATATATATATATATATATATATATATAATTATCAATTATCATTACTACATTTAAATAGATTTTGCGTGATATTAAAACAAATATATAGACAGATAAATAAAAATTATAAAAATATTGTTTTAAACTTCTATTGCTCTAATTAATACTGGAATTAGAGCACTAAAAACTTTTGTTAAATGCCTCCTATGTACAGACGTCGAGTCATTACATTTTTGTTATATTACTAAGAAATATCATGACAAGGGACTTGTCATGTGGTCCCTGTACAGAATGGGTCACCCCTTTCTTTTCCGTGGTTGTCACAAAGGTTGACTGAAGAAGCTTAATTATTGAGGGATAGGTAGCAGCGTCCTCTTAAAACATCTCCAAAGATTAACTGCAGTTACCAATCCGCTTGCCACTGCTTGGCAACTACTTAGCAATTACTTGGCACTTGACAACTACAAAATTTCCCTTATAGGGAAGGCTTGTGTTCAGCAGTGGACAGTTGATGGTTGAAATGATGATATGTTGACGATGACAAGAAGGTCTCATATTTTTTTAAGAGTCTAATAGATTTTAATTGAGTACTTCTATTACTTGACTAACTGTGTCATTTTACGTGACCTCCGCAGCATGGAGTATGTGACAATCCAATATGAATTACAATTCATTTTGAACTATATAGTAAAGTTAAATGTATATATAATCTGTGATGAGTAAATGTAGTAGCAGATTTGCCTTTAAAGTCTTTGAATTTCGCAGGTAAAGGAAGCTTTTTTCTCAGAAATAGCACCGTCACGATATCTATAAAATTTTGTGTATTTTCACTGTGATTTTTATAACTTTTTACGGATGATAATGGAATGGTAATCTCGCTTGCGCTATCGGTATACGCTGACAGGGCAATAATCTAGGATGATAGGTGAGGATGAAAGCAGGTGAGTTGACCCATCGTGACAAATTCATATAGAATTAACCACGATGGTTTCCAATGGGAATTGTATAGAGATTTATCTGATAGGGTACTTAGTAAATGGGGCTGCTAGTACTCATTAACAACAATCCTTCATTTCTACTGC